ACATTAATAAATAGACGCTACAGTAATAACAAAGATTTGCACGATTCAAGTACACTTGACATTAGTACATGTAGTACGTGTAGTGTAAACAACGACAAATCTTTCTACAGAGATACTGTCTTCTGAAATATGTTGGTTATTAAGGGGACTTTTCCTAAATTATACCAGTTATAACGACGCGTGTACGCTACCAGAATATGTGTGGGAAAAGTGGATGATCGGCATAAAATACTTAGTCCGTAACGAAAAGACTATTATCCTGTATCCCTGCACAAGAACCGTACGCGGTATTCCACAGACACACGTAAGCCAAATCGCATTCTAATCTATCTATTCTACCCTATATCCATCTATTGTATGTATTTTATCTATCTATTTACCTATCATTGATTGCTCAATCTATCTTTATACGCTTCTTTGTATCCATCATCTATCTTATCTATCTATCGATCTATCTATTCTATCCCTTCTACTATCTATCTTATCTTAAGCTATCTATCTATCTATATAATCCATCCATCCATCCATCCATCCATCCATCCATCCATCCATCCATTCCATCCATCCATTCATCCATCCATCGCATCGCATCCATCCATCGATTTATCTATCTATCTCTCTATATAGTATCTCTACTCTCTCTATATATCATATATATTGCGTGTTTTTGTCGTCGGGAGTGTACATTAATGCGTATAATTACATATTAATCGCAGCATCAATTAATTATAACGCAACGGACAACGGAGTTGCTCGTTATTTCAAATGCGTAATAACAGCATTATTATCTAGGCCCTATACTTGAGCCCATTAGAGCCGGTGTATGTATCTATCCATCTTATCTTATCTCCTATCCATCGGTATCTATATATATATTACCTATAATCTGATCTATATATATAAGCTATCATCTAGCCAATATCCATTCTATCCATCTTAACAACCATCCATCCATCTATACATCCTAGTATCCATCCTACCATCTACCCATCCATCCCTAATTATATTAGGGTTAGGGTTAGGTTAGGGTTCTAGCGCCACAGCTTACATCACGGTAGCTTGTTTACTACCACACGTACACTAATAATTAGTAATAATTTTAGTGTAATGATCATTTAAGTAATAATAATTACATGACAGCAAAGTAAGAAATATAATGGACGTTACATCGTTTTAAGGCAAATACCTAAGTTGTGGTGAAAATGCTCTCATGGCGTTTAATCAATGGGATAAAAGTCGGCCATACTTAAATATATAAAAATGTCGGGAAGCTGTCTCTGAGGAAGACGTTTCACTTAATACGCTGTCTATCCCATAGAATAGTATTTTCCGAACACAAGCGTCAGCATTCGAGTCGTTGGTGGCTTAAGCGTAACTCTGCTGCTCCTTGGTACATGGCTGGCGGCAGGTACCCACTCAGTGTCGTTGCACGAAAACCTTCTGATGTGGTTGCATTACTCCGGTCCTCCTTCGCACTTGATTATCCGTTCACAACGAGACGATTGGCCTAGAAAATTGAATTATCACCTATACTGTAATTTGATATACGTTATTATTATATATTATATAACATATATATATTTATATATAGTCTATATTATAATTCGTTTCAATAAAGTGTGAATAAAGATTTTGGCCATTATTAATCTTCGATAACGGGTTAATACTCAATTGTTATCATACTGTGTAAACGTTACGAGGATCGCCTTCAAAACCGTTGTAGTTAAATCCTTCATATGTCTATTGCAACCTTGAACAGGAACAGACCATTGTTAATACTATACCCGTAGATTATATTATACACTCGACCTTGTCTTTTATAATATATTGTTTTTGAACAACGAGAAATTTCGTTTGAGCGCGCGATGGATCCAATTGATACTGCGCTTAACTTTCACGTGAGGTTTCCTGTTACTTTAATTGTGAACTTTCAAGTTATCACATGCCTAAAAATGTCGACACAACACAAATTAGACATCGATGATGGAGAAGGTTTTTGGTCAAGCCGTTTTGTCCTACTTTTAGGCGAGAAATCTCGGGCGTACACTCCCCGGATGAGAGCATGCTCACATCGTGACGGTTTATTCATTCATGCGCACTTCTTATAATTTTTTGCTCACACTAGATGTCGAGGAAGTCACCAAAGATTGATCGTACACGCATTTCCTAATGCATTAGATGGTGCCGGCCACGAAAAGTGCCGGTACATTTTAGAGTTCAGCTCTCACGTGTATCAGCTGAGTTTCTGTACCAGTCTCAGGTAAGTCGCTGAGTCTTTGTAGCAGCTCATAGCGCTATCTACAGCTCAGTATCACATCTCTGTACAGCCTCAGGTTCAGCTTATCTCTGTGACAGCCTCAGTGGCTATCAGCTATCTCTGTGACAGCCTGCGAGCGTATCAGCTATCTCTGTGACAGCTCAGCGTATTCAGCTATAATCTTCTGTGGACAGCCTCAGGTATCAGCTTCTCTGTGACAGCTCAGTATCAGCTATCTCTCTGTGACAGCCGTTAGCATCCGCGAGTCGTATGCGCCTCTGATGCCTCGCCATTTCAGCCTGGGACAGCCTCAGGTTATCGCTATCTCTGTTGACAGCCTCAGGAGTATTCAGCTATCTCTCTTGAACAGCCTCAGGTATAGCACTCTAGCTGAATGCTGCTGACAGGCACTCAGTAGACTTACAGCCTCAGGTATCAGCTATCTCTGGTACAGCCCTTTCGCTGTGACAGCTCAGGTTCAGCTATCTCTGTGACAGCTCTCAGCCGTATCAGCTATCTCTGTGAACTAGCCTCAGGTATCAGCTATCTCTGTGACAGCCATCAGTTCAGCTAATCTCTGTTGACAGCTTCAGGTATCAGCTGAGTCTCTGATACAGGGTCTACAGCCGAATGCGAGCTAGCTTATGTTCTACAGAGATCATGGTACGACGGCCGGGGAACATTTGCAAGCGCGTCGGTTCCAGCTTGATCTCTCTCAATGGCGAGGCTGGTGACAGTGTAACCAGATAGAATTAGATCGTTAGAGCCGATCCTTATCGGTCGATGTTGACCACGCCGCCAGACCCGAGCATCTACACGGCCGCATGCATCACAACATTGCACACGACAACACAGGTCGACTCATAACAATCAATTACAGATCTTTATGCCTGAGCATACTCTCTAACCATATTAAATGCATATTAATAATAAATATAAAATTCTCTGAGGTGAGATATGCGCTTGCCTAAACACAGTAACGTAGCAGATTGGATAGTACTTGGTTGGTTATTGCAGCGGGGACCTACATGCGGAGGTTTTCCTCTATTTCTTAAGTGATGTCTACTGGATTGAAATGTTATCATATACATCTATGCTACGGATAACTCCTCTTTCATTTTGAAAATTCGTATCTTTGCCAAATATTGATTTCTCGTGGGACGATACTTGCGCATGTGCGCGGCACCGTGTTCAGGCGCTGCCAGTACGTCTGAAGAAACTTCATAATGATAGCTTGCTTTGAGGCAAGAGCAGGGGCTGGGAGACTGAGAAAGCACCGGTCATGGGCAGATAGCTTGGGGCCAAACAAGATGAAAAATCGAGTAATTGACACATACATTTATTTGGCATTTCAGGTTCGTATATATCATATATAACATGAATTCACATCCTTACAGTTACATATAAAGCATCATAATTTACTTAGAAATGCTATACTGTCAACTCATAGTACTATATACAGTTTACACTTCGTGTCAATTCCCTATATCTATTCAGGTTTGCGTAAATATTTGCCTTCACAACAATAATCACATTAAATAAGCTCCCTAACCGTCGTATATGGCATAAAACATGGAAAGGCTGCATTACAAGCGCGTACACACATTAATTTATCATGCAGATATCATGCAGATATATCCCATTTTTACATATATATATATATAATTATATACTATCGTATTCGCATCCTAAACACACATCATTCACTATATCTGACATGTTTCTGTTCCATCTCTCTGCTCACTCCCACACCTTTTCTGTAGATCTCCTTATATCCCTTCCTATTCTCCCTACATCTCCCTATTTTTCTTCCATCTCGCCTCGTTCTTCGCTCTTTCTCTCCCATTCACTTCTTACCATTTTCCATATGGCTGCACATCTTCCCCTATTCTTCTATATGTTTCTCCATCTCTCCACTTAACCATTAACCATTGCGAAATACAACTCATTTTCGCTTACATCTGAAAATTTTACTTACACATCTTATAAATATAATTTGACTATATAAACTCTGATATTCCCCTGGCCGAAAATCAAATTATTGATTCAGTTCTGTTTTTCTCACTTTTGGAAAGTGCGGCTACAACTAACCATGCAGTATGGTAAACGTATTCGATGCAAACAACTCGAGTTGATCTTGTAATGTAAAACGCGCTATTCTGCCAGAACACCTATCTTGCGTTATTCGAGCGGCCAGACTGACACAGAACTAGTAGCTTGTTGCAAGGCAATGGCACAGAACGTGTTGCGTCGCGCATGCGTGGCTCCATGTCTAACGTGTGATTACTACAAGGAAAGCTGTTCGCATATGTAGGTATTGTTAGCCGACGACAGGCGCGCTTATGCCGACAAACAGCAATCAGAGCATCGACCGACGCCTTTCACGAGAACGTGTCGATCTCAAACTACACTACCTACACTCTATAGCCAATAATTATTGAGAATTTGTAATTCTAACTGAGGGGTGTAAAACACACACACGAACATCGCTATCGGATGGGCGTGGGGTGTAAAAAGCAAACTTGACCAGAGCTGTGTGTGCAATGAAGCTCTCACATAGGGTGTCATACTCTCATAAATTAACATAGCATCCCCCTCAAACATGGCAGGACTACAGCTTCCCGACCGCATCTTCCTCCATCTACCTCCATCTTCCTCCAGCCTCCATCTTCCTCTATCCTCTTCCATCTACCTCCATCCTTCTCCATCTTCCTTCATCCTCCATCTACCTCTATCCTCTTCCATCCTCCTCCATCCTCCATCTTCCTCTACCCTCCTCCTCTATCACGAAAAGCTGTGCATGCGTCTACTGGTTCCTCGTGTAGCCACCATGCTTGTTGCTCGGCCGCTGGAGGACCAGGTAGTTGAGCAGGTCGAGGCGGATCGGCTCCTCCGGCTTGTCAACCCGCTGCGCTTCCTCCGAGATGACGGGCAGAGCGATCGGTTCCTGCACCTGAGGAGGGAGGAGGGAGACACGGTGACTCACTCACAATGACGTGTGTGTATGTGTGTGTGGCGGGAGAGGAGGAGGATGGAAGACAGACGGACGGACATGCAGACAAACACATCACCAGATTGAACTGATATATATATAAAGGGAAGGAGAGAGAAAGAGATAAATAGAGAAAGACAGAGAGAAAGGGAGAAATATATATATAGAGAAAGAGATAAATGGAGAGCGAGAGGGAGAGATGAGAGAGACAGAGACAGAGGCAGAGGCAGAGACAGAGGCAGAGAGAGACAGAGACAGAGACAGAGAGAGAGAAGAAAGGGAAGAGCGAGATGGGGTGAATGAATAGAGAGAGGGAAGGGAAAGAGAAATATATACTTCTGAGCATTCGTTTTCGCTACGACACCGTCCACCGCGCACTCTCTTACCTGAGGCCTAGGTGGCGCCACCACTCTCGTGTATCCCTTGTGCTTGTTGCTAGGCCTCTGCTGCCCCAGGTAGTTGTAATCGTCAACCCTATAGATGCTCTCCGGCTCGTCGACGCGGATTTCTTCTCCCGACCTGGCGGCAACATAGATGGGCAGATATCAGCAACAGGTAAAACGAGCAGCGACGATGGGTGCCAGTCTCACTGTTCACAGTGACAGTCACAGTCACAGTCGCAATCACTGGATGCAAGAGGACTGCAGTCTAAAGGAGTATTTATCAATTGAGTGTATACGTGTCAGCCACCGACGCTCGGTGTATGTGCTGAGTCTACTCTTGGCACATCCACGGTGAGCCAGATGAACGCACACAGCCGCCATCACAGCGTTGTCGATGACGTCACAGTATGATGAAACTCACACATGTTACCCCGTCACTCATCACGATCCAAACACAAGCGCCTAGTGTTCCGTTAATAGCCTAATTATAATATGAAATATTTCGCCGATACAAGTCGGCATTCACGCAGTCAGCGTAGACTCAACGTTAAGCTAACGAAAACTTGGAACGTCAAACATCAAGAGCGAGTGGTAGCTTTATTGTTTCCCCGATCAATTGTGAAGCGGAACAACATAATACGTTCTATTTTCATGAAACCTGATGAACATTGCGTGACGTCATAGAACGAACGAAAAATACAATATCGAAACGCAACACATCATCAAACTTGAGAAAAAATGAAAACGACAGGAAACAGAAAATAAGTAAAATTAAACGGAAGGATTAATAGAAAAATATGCGTGCACGTGCTCACACAGTTCCAGTATCATCTACACTAGTGACGACTGCAAACATTCCTAATGGAGTAGAGTTTGAGACATGAATAACCAGATTGAATAAGATAACGGGAATCGATGACGATGTTGATATACGTAGAGCGACGACAGAACAATACAAACTGAAGAAAACTCCATAGTTATTATTACATCCATCTATGCTACTAGAGCATGTACATACGCGTGCGCGCGCGCGCGAAGAGGAGGGGGAGAGCTCATAGTTCTCCTTCGTGCTAACCGTCTACCTGCTTAGTCAGCATGGGAACGAGCGTTGGTGGCACTATAGAAGAACGCGAGATGGCAGGAGCAGGTTGCCAATGCCGTATTAAGCGCCTGCAGCTGAATTGGTTTCATTAAGCGGCGAACACTGATTCAGTATTCGCCCGCGTCCGCCGCCAGCTATAGTAACGGCCACCGATCGATGCTCGGCCAGCCAGACTAACAGTAACTCGCACCTGTTAATTATATATATATATATATATATATATATATGTGTGTGTGTGTGTGTGTGTGTATGTGCGTACCTGCGTGCGTGCGTGCGTGCGTGCGTCCGTGTGTGGTAGAAAAGTTATTGAGTTTCACGATATTCAGTTGTTAATATTTGAGACAAGAATAATCCGACATTCCCTATAGACGTACTAGTGCTTTCGTCTCTATAGAAATCTTCAGGTGCACCTTGTGTAATCACTTCATCAATATTCATAAAAATAATGAATAGAATCATCATTGTTCGATTAATATATTTAATTATGTTTATTCTGTGATTGACTTTAATATCAATTATGTTGATATTATTAATTAATACGTTTAGAATTGCATTTGCATGAATTATTAACGATGTTTTATGTGTTATTTTTGTGTTTTTGTTATTTTTTATTATTATGTTTAATGTATTTTTTCCTCTTCTTCAAGCCTTTCAATAGTGCATGACGCTACGTCAGCTGTTTTTCTTGTCCAGGAATTTTATGATATCACCGTTTTGCGTGTAATCTACCGATAAAATAATACTTCCTGATTTATAACTTGAATTGAAATTAATATTTTAAACGTGTTATAGTGTAACAGATTTCGCAATTTATCCATCTCTGGATAGCGCAATCGCCTTCAGGCGCATGCTTCCTCTCTTTTTCTCCCTGCATATATCTCTCCCTCCCCCCTCTCTCTCTCTATTCCTCTATATCTCTATCTATCCTTATCTCCGCTCTTCCTCCTCTCTCTCCCTCTCCCTCTCCATCTCTCTGTCCCTCCCCCTTTCTCTATCTCTCTCTCTCTCTCTGTTTTTTTATATTTCCTATTAATTTTTAAGCACAGTAATAATAAGCACTATCTCTCATCGACTCACTCACATGGCTTCGCGCGCTCAATGACACTATCGCATGGCTTCTATCTTTCTCTCGTCCCCTCTCGCATCTTTCTCTTTCTTCCTTTTTTCTCTCTCTCTCTCTCTCTTTCTTCCTTTCTCTCTCTTTCGCTCTTTCTCTCTCTCTTTCTTCGTTTCTCTATCTCTCTCTGTCGCTCTCTCTCTTCCTCTCTGTCTTTCTCTTTCTCTCTCTCTCTCTTTTCCTTTCTCTATCTCTCTCTGTCGCTCTCTCTCTTCCTCTCTGTCTTTCTCTTTCTCTCTCTCTCTCTTTTCCTTTCTCTATCTCTCTCTGTCGCTCTCTCTCTTCCTCTCTGTCTTTCTCTTTCTCTCTCTCTTGTGCTGGATATATTATATATATGGCTCAAGCTCCGCAGGTAACTGCTTTATCGCAGTTTACTTTTCTATCAAACATTACATTTACCGATATCATAGCTGAACATACGTTTAATAAAAAATCGTGTCTATAGCTTTCAATCTCTTCAATTAAATGTCGCTAGTTAATCTCCACTGTGTAGATATCCACAGTTTACCTGTCGTAATAACGGCCCACTACAGACACGAACTGCTTTTTAACGGATATCATAATGTTATACGTCAGTTACAACAACATTGGTAGCTCTGAAACGCTGCAGTGTAACGGTATCATATTGCTGAATTCACTATAACAACATGGTAGCTCCTGAACGCTTGCCCATGTAACGTATCATTAATGTTATGACGTCGAGCTACAAAACAAACATGGAAGCCCTCTGACGCTGCATTCTGCATGTAACGGTTATCGTAATGCTAATATTTTCTTTAACAATGTCGTACACGCACCAATTTAACTGCATTTAAGACATCGTAACATGACTTGCCTTAATAAAGAATATTATGAATTAGAGTCGAACATAGAAACATGGTCATAATCTAATCACGAATCGATCAATTCAATAATACCAATTCGTGGAATTACGATCGTGAAAAGCAAATCGTCAATCGTGACCAAAATAAAAACCACGAACAGGATAGATTGTAACTCTCTAACAATCACAACTGAATGTATTCAAATTCGATATCAAATGAGAAAAACGAGATAAATAAACACGAATCGCGTAATTTTCGAACTCGAAGTAAATTTGCCCAGCGATAACCTATCCACGCACCGCGATTCTCACCATACCTTACACAACTGACCTGTATGTCGTAGACTCGTGTGTGTTCTCTCACTCTCACTCTTTCAGTTCGCGCTGTTCTATCGATTTTGCTTTCTGAGCGATCGCTCTCCTTATATACATCTTCTCAGCGGTGGTCTTCACGCGGCGCAGCATTCGAGCAGCATCAGCAGCCAGCCAGCGGCAGCAGCAGCGGCAGCGGCAGCGGGGTGCAGGCAGAGGGGTGGGTGTGTGGTAGATAGGTGGGGGGAGGGGAGGGTTAGGATGCCACCCCTTTCTGAGCTTACCCACGATGGCCGTGCGCGCATACGCTCTCCGTGTGTGTGTCTGTGTGTGCCTGTGTGTGTGCGTGCGTGTGTGAGCGTGTGTGCATGTGTGCGTGCGAGCGTGTGTGCATGTGACTGTGTGCGTGTTAGTACATACCTCACAGGTAGAACCTCGAAGGGAGGAGCTGCCGTCGTTGGTGGCTCAGTCGCCGGTGCCTCAGTGGTGAACTCTGTCGGCCGAGTCTCGAAGGGAGGTATCGTCCTCACCACGAGGGGACGCACTTGTTCGCGCGTGTAGCCCTTGTGTTTGTTGCTCGGAGCTTTCCTTCCAAGGAAGTTATACACATCATCTTCTCCTACACTGATCGCCACACCCACGCACGCCACCTGTAGGGGAAATATCGAATCACCCGTCGGCGACAATGCAGTTTTTAGTCGGGTGCGTATAACATTGAAGCGAACTGTTCGCTAAATCGCATGAATTACAATCACGATATACAATATTGACAATACAATTTAATTAGAATATATTTACAATCACGCGAACGAACAAGTTTTTGTAGAACGAATGTTGGAGGCATCACGTCAACGCCGACGAATGTCCCGGATGTTAAACGGCCCGAAACTCCGCTAACAACACCAGTGCTGCTCCGTCGTGACGTCATTCCCGTAGATCGCATGAGATGCCTTGCTTATAATCAGTAAGTGTTGACGGCTATCAGGCGTCGGGTTCAAGATTTGTTGATTGCAAGAATTGTGACTGTTGTTACAAGAATTGTGGATCTATACTCACCATAATCACTAAAGCTAGCAAAGATTTTCCACACATGTCTGCTGTAGCGGCTCTTGTATGTAAAAACTTTTAATCACGTTCGCTTTGATCGTTCTGTAACAGAAAATACACAAGTGCTCGTCACAGTTACGTAAAGCCGTGACGTCATCGATCGCGTGCCGTCATATCAGACGACAGCTTTGCGCTTCGCCTAACGTTTTTTTTTAGTAAATACATTAGAGGAGATTGAGTCGAAGCTTGTTTGAACTGTCCTACGCGGCTGCTGTCATATACGACACGGTCCGTAAACAACACCGAGTGTACACAGTCACACGCAGTGAGCACGTACGCGTCTGTGAAGACACGAATCAACAGACAACATACGAATACGCGCCTGCATTCACGCGAGCGCGTGTGGCAGCGAGCGATCGCAACACACTGCATGACACGCCGCTCTACTTTCATTCATAAACGAAAGCGAAAGTGGATCAACTCAAACGCGGGCGAGTAACGGATGCTTTTAGCAGCAATATTGTGCGTAAGGCTAGACGGAGCGCAGTGCACGTATCTTCATCGTAGAATCATGCTTGACGCTGTGCTAACGACACCGTTCCAAGACCCAGTAATACGTCTAATGCGTTCTAGTTACTAATAACTCTTGATTCTCTCTCTCTCTCTCTCTCTCTCTCTCTCTCTCTCTCTCTCTCTCTCTCTCTCTCTCTCTCTCTCTCTCTCTCTCTCTCTCCCTCTCCCTCTCTTTGTGTCTCTGTCTCTCTATCTCTTTCTGTCTCTCTCTCCCTCTCTCTCTCTCTCTCCCTCTCTCTCTCGCTCTCTCTCCCTCTCTCTCTCTCTCTCTTTGTGTCTTTGTCTCTCTATCTCTTTCTGTCTCTCTCTCTCTCTCTCTGTCTCTGTTTCTCTATCTCTTTCTGTCTCTCTCTCTCTATCACTTGATTCTTCATCCTCTATTTCACGCGACCTCAATCTTTTAAAGACGGACATCGGCCTAATTCTGTCCGCTGTGTGTGTGTGTGTGTGTGTGTGTGTGTGTGTGTGTGTG